CAGTGGCTAGTGGTGTGCCTCAGGGATCAGTGTTGGGACCACAATTGTTTACAATTTACATAGATGATTTGGAGTTGGGGACTAAGTGTGGTGTGTCAAAATTTGCAGATGACACCAAGGTGAGTGGTCGAGCAAAGTGTGCAGAAGACACTGAAAGTCTGCAGAGGGATATAGATAGTCTAAGTGAGTGGGCAAAGGTCTGGCAGATGGAGTACAATGTTGATAAGTGTGAGGTCATCCATTTTGCTAGGAATAACAGCAAAATGGACTATGTTTTAAATAGTGAAAAATTGCAGCACGCTGCTGTGCAGAGGGACTTGGTGTCCTTGTGCATGAATCGCTAAAAGTAGGATTGCAGGTGCAGCAGGTAATTAAAAAGGCAGATGGAATTTTGTCTGCCATTGCTCGAGGGATGGAGTTTAAAAACAGGGAGGCTATGCTGCAGCTGTATAGGGTCCTGGTGAGGCCACACCTGGAGTACTGTGTGCAGTTTTGGTCTCCTTAGCATTTAGATATACTAGCACTGGAGGGGGGTACAGAGGAGATTCACTCGGTTGATTCCAGAGTTGAGAGGGTTGGATAATGAGGAGAGACTGAGTAGGCTGGGATTATACTCATTGGAATTCAGAAGAATGAGGGGAGATCTTATAGAAACATATAAGATTATGAAGGGAATAGATAAGGTAGAGGCAGGGAGGTTGTTTCCACTAGCAGGTGAAACTAGGACTAGGGGGCATTGCTTCAAAATAAAGGGTAACAGATGTAGGACTGAGGTCAGGAGGAACTTCTTCACCCAAAGTGTTGTGAATCTGTGGAATTCCCTGCCCAGTGAAGTGGTTGAAGCTACCTCGCTGAATGTTTTTAAGGCAAGGCTAGATAAATTTTTGAACAGTAAAGGAATTAAGGGTTATGGTGAGTGGGCAGGGAAGTGGAGCTGAGTCTCAAAAAGATCAGCCATGATCTTATTAAATGGCGGAGCAGGCCCGATGGGCCGGATGGCCTACTCCTGCTCCTAGTTCTTATGTTCTTATGTTAATTGTGTAGATCATATAAAATGGCCACCTTCCAGCGATGTTATCGGTCAGGGAGTTGGGAACAGTGTAAAATTGTAACTGAGAGTGAGTGGCAAAGATAAGAGAAATATCTTTGTGTCCATAGAACACATAGAATCCCTACAGTGCGGAAAAAATGCCATTCAGCCCATCGAGTCTGCATCAATGCACTGAAGAGTATCCCAAACCCCCTGCACCCTATCCCCATAACCCCACATTTCCCATGGCTCATCCATCTAGCGAGCACATCCCTGGACACTATGGGGCAATTTAGCACGGCCAATCCACCCTAGCCTGCACATCTCTGGACTGTGGGAGTAAACCGGAGCACCCGGAGGAAACCCGCGCAGACACGGGGAGAACGTGCAAACTCCACGCAGGCAGTCGCCACCCGAGGGTGGAATTGAAACAGGGCCCTCTGACGCTGTGAGGCAGCAATTCTACATTTGTTTGAAAACAATGTTGAGTACTGTTGAGAGGTGAAAAACCTGCCACGGGGAGTATTTGAGACAAAAATCATCGGATTTTTTTTCTCAAGGAATTCTAATAATTTGAAAAAGAGCAACGCATGAGGTTCAGTGAACAGCCAGGGTGTGAAATGTGTATCCTGTGGTTCTAATAGAGTCAACAACAATGACTTGCATTCGTATAGAACCTCCAAAGTAGAAGATTGTCCCAAGATGTTTCACAGGTGAGTAACCTGACAAAATATGAAAGCGAGGCCCAGATAGGAGATAGCAGCTGACCTAAAGCTCGGTCAAAAGGAAGATTTTATGAAGCGTCTTTGTTGGAGGGAAGAGGCATAGAAAGAGAGAGAGAATTCCAGAGTTGGGGCCCAAACAACTAACCATGGCAAGGCTGAATTGCAGGATGGAGAGGAAACCTCAAAGAGTCGTAGGAAATTGCAGAGGTAGAGAAGGATGAGGATCAGAAAGATTTGAAGACATGAAGATTGATGATGCAAAGTTTGGCTGGGTGGTTAGTCGTCAGGTAAAAGGTATTAGGTTGTAGGAGGATATAGACAGGTTGGTCATACAGGAAGATCTGTGTCAGATGGAATTTAACCCTGAAAGGTATGAGGTGATGCCCTTCAGAAGAAGTAACAAGGGAATAATCAACGAATGACAGGACACAAGGAAGCTCAGAGGAACACAGGCATCTTGGGATACTTATCCACAGATCCCTGAAGATGGCAGGACAGGATAATAGGGCAGTTAAGAAGGGACACTTGCTTTTATCAATCTTGGCATAGATTCTAAGGGCAGGGGGGTTATGGTGGAGCTATACAGGCCTTTGGTAAGGTCACAGCTGGAGCACTGTATGAAGTTCTGGTCCCCACATGTGATTGCACTGGAGAGGGGGTGCAGAGGGAGATTAACCAGGATGTTACCTGGGATGGAGTACTTCAATGATGAAGAGAGGCTGGATAAGCTTGCGGTGTTTTCTTTGGAGCAGAGAAGGTTGATGGGACCTAATGGAGGTGTATAAGATTATAGAGGGGCATGGACAGGATGAATAGAGTGCAGCTGTTCCATTTAGTTGAAGGGTCAATAACAAGGGGACATAATTTTAAAGTGATAGGCAGGAGGTTTGGAGGGAGTTTTGATGAAAAAATTTTCACCATCAGGGGCAACGAATGAAGAGCATTTAGTATGAGTCTGTAAACAGGCAGCTGAATGTATGGATGAGCTGAAGTTGGTGGAGGATGTGGAGTGGGAGGCTGACCTGGACAAATAGCAGGAGTCAACTCGCAAGTTGTCCTGAATATCTGGGGATGAGCTGTGCAATTTAAACCCTGGTCACTTTTAATTCCAGACTGTTCCAGGAATATCACATTGACAGAAGGATGGGAAATCCAAGGAAATGCGAGCACGCCATATTTCCCCAGTTACTATCCACCAAACACAGAGTGTACCTGGCATTTTACTGTGAGTACAGTGTGGGGATGCTCCTAATTTTAAACCAGGTTTTGTTTCTCGCGTCACAAGTTTCATTATAAAAGCATGAACATTAGCCGTGGTCAGTGAATCTTGCCTCTGAATCATAGAGTCATAGAGTCAGACAGCATGGAAACAGACCCTTCAGTCCAACCCACCTGCGCCAACCCAACATCCCATATTGACCTAGTCCCATTTGCCAGCATTTGGCACGTAACTCCCTAAACCCTTCCTATTCGTGTACCCATCCAGATGCCTTTTAAATGTTGTAATTGTATCAGCCTCCACCACTTCCTCCAGCAGCTCATTCCATACACGCACCACCCTCTGTGTGAAAACATTGCCCCTCAGGTCCCTTTTAAATCTTTCCCCTCTCACCTTAAACCTGTGCCCTCTAGTTTTTTAACTTTCTCAGCCAATAGTTTGGATGATTTTCATTGTCAGGTGATTTAGTCAGTAAGGATGACTCCAAGGAACCATTACTGAAGTTTCTGTTCACTCTTGGAAATGTTCATTGAATTGAAAAGATGTCTTGTGGTTCCTTCAAAGTCTAGACTCGGTACTCATTGAACCCACAAGGTTAATCACGGCAGCCATTTTGTAAGATTCGAAGTCATAGTCATATAGCACGGAAACAGACCCTTCGGTCCAACCAGTCCATGCCAACCATGTTCCCAAATTAAACTAATCCCACCTGCCTGCGCTTGGCCCATATCCCTCCAAACCTTTCCTATTCATGTACTTATCCGAATGTCTTTTAAACATTGTAACTGTGCCAACATCCACCACTTCCCTTGGCAGCTCGTGCCATACATTCTCAGTGTAAAAAAATTGTCCCCATGTCTTTTTTAAATCTTTCTCCTCTGACCTAAAAAAAAGCCCCCTAGTTTCAAAAATCCCCCACCCTAGGGAAAAGACACCTGCCATTCACCTTATCTCATGATTTGATAAAACTCTATAAGGTCACCCCTCAACCTCCTGCAATGAAAGGTGTCCCAGCCTAAGTCAATATTAAAGACAAATTTCTTTAGAAAATGCGTGATGTGATTGCACAGTCATGACATTCCTCATGCTAGTTTCCTAACACAGAAATAGTTTCTTTCACCTACCCTATTTCTTTCTCCTAACATCTTGGAAACCTCAAACAAATCATGCCATAACCTCCAAAATTCCAGGGAATACAACCTTCATTTGTTTGATCTCTTTTCCTGGTAAATCATCCTGGTAAATCTATGATGGACTCCATCCGAGGCCAATATGTCCATCTCAAGGTGTGGAGCCTAGAATTGCTCTCAGTAACTTCAGATATGGTTCAGGCAGGGTCTTTGTGCCCTTGTAGAGTAACAGTGCCCTGAGAGTGTTCCTGTATTACCTTCTGTCTCGTACACAGGTGCCATCCCTGGACTACGGAATCACGCTGTGGTTTGATGGGTATGAGCTGGACACTCCAACCTTCACTAAACCCTGCTCGCAAGGCCAGTGGAAGGTACAAAACAGGAAGTAAGTGTGAAGTCCTTTTAATCTTTTGTCCTCCACCTTCCTTTAATTATGGCCGAGCCCTCTGTAAGACAATTTGGTAACAATTAAAGCAGCAGTTTTTAACAGGACAGCTGATGGCATCGCAGGAAGTGATATCAGGTCACAGGACATGCATGTTAATAAGGACTTACTCGGTGATAGTGGTGCAGGGATGTCTCCCTGCTCTGTGTGTAATGTTCAATACGCAGCTCTAGTTTCTATACATCTGTTACCGGATGCCCTTTGATGCACTGGCAGTGTCCCTGCCCTGGGTTCAAGGCCCTCCTGCTCCACAGGTGTTGTCATAACATCTCTCTCTGGACAGGTTTGTTAGGAAAATATCTATAACGGTGAGGATGTCGAAATCTATGGGCAGCAGAGAAATAGAAGTGAATTCCCACAACACTATTTTTCAAACTACAGGGACCCCTGACATCTTTAACACCAAAATCAGTCCTTCTCCTGTGTAGTCGCCATTCAATTATAGAAATTGCAGCCCATAAGCAGCAAACATTGAACGAATGATCTGATTGCAACAATAAAGGTGTCAATATTAGCCAGGACACAGGGATTGACTGCCCTGCTGTGGTTTAAAACAGTTCCGCAGTATGTATTATGCCCACTTTAAAAAGCAACTGAACCTCAATTTGACTCGGTGACCACCCCCTCTCCCCTCCCATACACACACATAATGACGCTCACAGTGGAAATGTCCACGATGGTTCACCAGAAAGTCAGTCTTGTCTTAGGACCGCATCTCCATTCTGGCGGTTGTAGGCTCAAGTTGAAGCTTGTGGTTCCAGGCTGCTACTCCAATGCAGTCTCAAGGGGAAGCTGCGCTGTCAGAGGCGCTGTCTTGTAGACTGCACCTTTTCAGAGGCTTAGACTTGGAATCCCTACAGTGTGTAAACAGGCCCTTCAGTCCAACAAGCCCACACCGACCTTCAGGGCAACCCACCCAGACCCATCCCCCTATAACCCACCTAATCTACACATTCCTGAACACTATGAGCAATTTCCCATGGCCAATCTACACTAACCTGCACATCTTTGGACTGTGGGAGGAAACCGGAGCACCCAGAGGAAACCTGCACAGACACAGGGAGAATTTGCAAACTCCACACAGACAGTCACCTGAGGGTGGGATTGAACCTGGGTCCCTGGCACTGTGAGGCAGCACTGAGCCACCGTGCCACCCTACAGAGACACTGCTCCAGCTTCTAGCAAGTCTTTGAATGAAGACACCTTTCCTCGTCTTGCCTCCAGATTTCATCCCAAACGCAACGATTTTAATTATTTTCATCCAATTGCCAGAGGAAAGACCTCTTCGTTTACCAGCATCTCAAAAACCTGTTTGGTGCCGAGGATAGCGATCCTAACTTGGTGACACAATCTGATCAAACTTGAGTGGGTCAAGGGCTGGGGAAAACACTACCTCTGGCTCAGGACCCCACCCCCAACCTGGGCACAGTGCCCCCTACCCACCACCAGGTATTGAGCCACCCTCCCTCAACTGGATGAGGAAATTTCAGAACAAGTGATAATTTATCACGCCCGATCTTTCGCAGTGTAGTGATTCTAACGAGGTCAGCCAACAGGATCTCATTGAAAATGAGTTCCCCGATTGTGGCTGTTAATCTGATCCAATCAAGGAGCCCTGGCTGACTCAAAACTAGAGGGCATAGGTTTAAGGTGAGAGGGAAAAGGTTCAAAAGGGGCCTTAGGGACAACTTTTTCACACAGAGGGTGGTGTGTGTATGGAATGAGCTGCCAGAGGAAGTGGTGGAGGATGGTACAATTACAACATTTAAAAGGCATCTGGATGGGTATATGAATAGGAAGGGTTTAGAGGGATATGGGCCAAATGCTGGCAAATGGGACTAGATTAATTTAGGATATCTGGTCAGCATGGATGAGTTGGTCTGAAGAGTCTGTTTCCAAGCTGTACATCTCCATGACTCTATGAGTGTCAGGGGTTCTGTTCACTCTGAGAGCTGGCTCTGAGGAAGCTGGACCAGTGTCAAGTACTATGCACATGTAAACAAAGGGTGACTTAGTGATGGGGAACCAGCCTCTGTGGAGTTAATTCACAGCACAGTGTTAAACTACCTTAGGATCAAACAATGTACAACCCAGATGCAAAACCCTGGAATGCACATCATGGGAGGGGAGCTGAAATGGGTAACTTTATTAAAAAGTACTTGGATAAGCTGTTGAAATGCCATGACATTGAAGGATGTGGGCCTAGTGCTGGAATGTAGGCCTGGTGTAGACGTAGAGCAGTTTTCTTTTGTCAGTGTAGACTCAATCGGCTTAAGGGCTCCATCTGTACTGTGTGATTCTCTGCTGCATTGATAATGTCAGCCTAACCCTTAGGATGGTCTTCATTACCATTGATGCCAAAAAAAGGCCCTGCATTTAGTTAATATCTTTCATGACCTCAGGATATAGAGTGGCATGGTGGCTCAGTGGTTAGCACTGCCTCACAGCACCAGGGACCCAGGTTTGATTCCACCCTCAGGTGACTGTCTGTGTGGAGTTTACACGTTCACCCCGTGTCTGTGTGGGTTTCCTGCAGGTGCTCCAGTTTCCTCCCACTGTCCAAAGATGTGCAGGTTAGGGTGGATTGGCCATGCTAAATTACCCCATAGTGCCCAGGGATGTGCAGGTTAGGGTGGATCGGCCATGCTAAATTGTCCCACAGTGCCCAGGGGTGTGCAGGTTAGGGTGGATTGGCTGTGCTAAATTGTCCCACAGTGCCCAGGGCTGTGCAGGTTAGGGTGGATTGGCCGTGCTAAATTGTCCCACAGTGTGCAGGTTAGAGTGAATTGGCCGTGCTAAATCACCTATAGTGTCTAGTGTGGGAAATGCAGAGATAGGGTGATAGAGATAGGTAGGGGGTATGTCTGGGTGGGATGCCCTTCAGAGGGTTGGCATGGACTCAAAGGGCTGAATGGCCTGCTTCCACGCTGTAGGGATTCTATGACATCCCTTACAGTGAATGAAAAGCTTTTTGGGTCCTAGTAGTTGTTGTTGTAAGCGAGGAAATACACCAACAAATCTGCGCATAGCTAGCTCCCACAGTTGTGTAACCATGGTCAGATCATCCATTTTGTCAATGTCAATGGAAGGTTAAATACGGGCCAGAACACCGGCGAAACCTTCCCTGTCCTCCTTCAAAACAGTGTCATAGAATATTTAAAATCCACCTGAGAGGCCCGAGAGAAGTTGGGTTAATGTTCTGTGGAAACAGAGCAGCATTCCCCGCAACGCAGTCTGATTTGAGTTTTATACTCAAGACCTGAAAGAGGTCTGGAACCCAGAGCCTTCAGATTCAGAGGCAGGAGAATTCTAAGCTGCTGATGACCAATATTTCTGAGCCTGTTGTTACTGGGCCAGCTTGTCTTCTTTGTAAAATTGCTGGACTATATTTGCTAAATAGTTACCTGATCGTTTTCTTGTGACTGAAATATGCTCCCTTATAGATTTTAACATCCCAACGCCTTCCAGTACCTGAGTGGAGACACAGCGCCTATCCGGAAAGTTTCCATTTTGCATTCCCTAAGAACTGACAAAGCTCCGTGAAGGTGCTCTGGCTCATGGTGTCAATATTTTCCCCAATCAACCTGTTCAGGGATGTTATGACACACCTCTGGAGCAGGTGGGATTTGAACCTAGGCCTCCTGGATCAGAGGTAGGGACACTACCAGTGCATCGCAAGACCCCTCAGATTTGGGATATACTCCGTGTAGATTAGGTGTTAATAAGGGTCGTTATGTCTGATATTAGAATCCCTGGTCAAAATGGAGAGCGTCACCTTCTGACAGCAACTTGGGCCTACGTGTGTTTGAAGCAGACTCGACTTTGGTTACGATTATTGACGGCACAATCTGTTCCCAAGGAGACGGGGCACGTAGTTTAGGAGATTGTGCATTGAGTACCTGTTGGAATAATGGTAGGGGGTGGGGTGGGGTGTCACAGCCTTCAGGAGCAAGGTTTACTTTTAAAAGGGGAGGGGTGCACTCGCGCAGGTCCACATGGGGCCTACCTCAGGCTGTGCTGTAATCCAGCCTCCTCACGGTTTCTCCTCTCCTCTCAGGCTGTGTGGGCAGAGGGTGCTGCAGCCGTATGCGGAAAGACTGTTTGTCATGTCGCTGACCACAATGGTGACCTTCACTTCTGAGGTGACCCTCACAGGCCCTGGAATCCAGTTCTCCTACAGCCTCTTCAACCAGTCAGACCGTATGTTTGAACCTTCCCTGTATTTTTGTTTATATTCGTTTATAGGATGGGAGTCTAGGTCAGCATTTATTGCCCCATCCCTAATTGCCCAGAGGGCGGTTAAGAGACAACTACATTGCTGTGGGTCTGGAGTCACATGTAGGCCAGACCAGGTAAGGATGGCAGATTTCCCTCCCTAAAGGACATTAGTGAACCAGATGGGTTTTTATGACGATAGATGAACGTTTCGTAGTCACCATCACTGGGACTTGCTTTACATTCCAGATTTATGAATTAAATTTAAATTCCAACCAGCTGAATTTTGGGATTTGAACCCAGGTTCCCAAAGGATTTATTCTGGCTCTCTGCGTTACAAGCCCAGAAACTCTCCTACGACACCACCTTCCCTCCAGTCACAGATCCTGATATGTTTCGGTGCCAGATTTTGTTTGGTCATACTCCTATGAAGGGTGGGAATTTGCTGAGAAGTGGGTGGTGAAGGAGTTGGGTTAATTCTTACTTGTAGTCAAAAGCAGGGCCTAGTGGAGGCAATGGAGGAGGCCTCGTGCAAGGCTAGTGCTGGGAAATGAGACTAGAATAGATGTGTTTGATAACCAGCATGCACATCATGGGCTGAAGGGCCTCTTTCTGTGTTCTAATTATCTATGACCTAATGATGTGTAAAAACTGGGGATAAAAGTGTAAGAACTGAAAGATCTGAGTTTCAAACCATTATGTTTTACTTGAAAAGTATTGAATGACGGAGAAGAAAATTGATAGCCAAGCATGAACCAATTAGATAATATCTCACTGTCGCTGGGTCAAAATCCAGGAACTCCCTGCCTAACAGCATTGTGGGTCGACCTACAGCACGTGGACTGCAGCAGTTCAGGAAGGCAGCTCACCCCCACCATCTCAAGGGGCAATTAGGAACGGGCAATAAATGATGCCAATTTATAGAGTCATAGAGATGTACAGCACGGAAACAGACCCTTCGGTCCAAATCGTCCATGCCGACCAGATATCCTAAACTGATCTAGTCCCATTTGCCGGCATTTGGCCCAAATCCCTCTAAACCTATTCATAAAACCATCCGGATGGTTTTTAAATGTTGTAGTTGTACCAGCCTCCACCACTTCCTCTGGCAGCTCATTCCATACATGCACCACCCTCTGCATGGAAACATTACCCCTTAGGTCCCTTTTAAATCTTTCCCCTCTCACCTTAAACCTATGACCTCTAGTTTTGGATTCCCCTACCCTGGGAAAAAGACCTTGGCTATTCACCCTATCCATGCCCCTCATGATTTTATAAAACTCTATAAGGTCACCCCTCACCCTCCAATAGAAAAATAGCCCCAGCCTATTCATCCTCTCCCTGTAGCTCAAACCCTCCAACTCTAGCAAAGAAAAACTTTTCTTCTCCCTTTCAAGTTTAACAACATCTTCCCCGAACTGAACGCAGTATTCCAGAAGTGGCCTAACCAATGTCCTGTACAGCCACAACATGACTTCCCAACTCCTATACTCAATGCTCTGACCAATAAAGGCAAGCGTACCAAACACCTTCTTCATTATGCTGTCTACCTGTGACCCCACCTTCAAGGAACTATGAACCTGCAACCTAAGGTCTCCTTATTCAGCAATGCTCCCCAGAACCCTAATTGTTAACCCTGATTTGCCTTACCAAAGTGCAACACCTCACATTTATCTAAATTAAACTCCATCTGCCTTTCCTCAGCCCATCGGCCCATCTGATCAAGGCCCCATTGTCCCCCAGAAGGAATAGAAATAATAGGAAGAATTTTCCCAGTAGTTATTGAGGGAAAGGGCAGAACATTGAGAGACCGAACATGTCAGGCAACCAATGCTGAGAGTGTCAGGGGGTGGGGAGGGGGTAATTGTTGGGAGGCGGGAGGCAGATGGTACTGCAATGACAACATTGTGTCTCTCAAAACAGAGTTGGCAATTCTCTCAGAGACAGTAAGAACTGCCGATGCTGGAGTCAGAGATAACACGGTGTGGAGCTGGAGGAACACAGCAGGCCAGGCAGCATCAGAGGAGCAGGAAAGCTGACGTTTCGGTTCGGGACCCTTCTTCAGAAAATGGCAACTCTCTGTCACTCTCTCTTGTGGGATGTGGGCATCGCTGGCTGGGCCCAGCATTTATTGCCCATCCCTGTTTGCCCCTGAGAAGATGGTGATGAGCTGCCTTCTTGAACCACTACAGTCCCCGTGCTGCAATGCCCTTAGGGAGGGAATTCCAGGATTTTGACCCAGCGACGCTGAAGGAATGTCGATATATTTCCAAATCAGGATGGCCAGTGGCTTCTTCCTGCTGCTCAAATCAGATGGGCTGTAAGGCCGGAACTGGACATCCTTATCTTCGACAAGTGGATTTGGGGGGGGGGTGGTAAATAAACAGAGGGCAAGAGGAGAGCGAGAGAGAGAGGGGGTGGAGGGTGAGGGGAAACCACATGAGGTGAGCAGAGTCCAAATGAATCTGAGTAAATCATGGAGAGTCAGCCTAGGGGAGATGTTAACCCTAAGGTATTGTCCCATTGACTCTGTACAGCATCAGCTCACGTGTCTGTCTTCCTCCCTCTGTTGTAGCCTGCCCTGACAAAGTTCTGTGCTCCATATCTGGCCTGTGTGTCACCGAATGTGATGGGCTAAAGGACTGCAGCAATGGAGTGGATGAGAACAATTGCGGTAAAGGAACTGTTTACTTTCTGTTGTTGTGCTTGGGAACATTCCTCCGCAAACTTCATTCCATGCCAGTGGATCGATCTGTGACTCTCTCAGATATGTCAGGATATACAGCTTTAACATTCCCATCTTTAATTTTAACCCACCCCCTCCCTAGCTCTAACTTCCTTCAGCCATACAAGCTTCTGCGATTTTGAGATCATGTGTATCCCTGTTTTCCTTCACCCCCACCACTGCAGGCCATGCGTTCGACTGTTCTAGACTCAACTGTTGGCTCTAAAATTCATGTGTTTTTTTTTAAATTTATTCAAGGGATGTGAGCAGCATTTATTGCCCATCCCTAATTACCCAGAGTCATAGAGTCATAGAATAATACAGCATGGAAACAGGCTCTTCGGCCCAAACTGATCCATGCTGACCATGGTGCCCACTCAGCTAGTTCCAATTGCCTACATTTGGCCCATATCCCTCTAATCCCTTCCCATCCATGTACCTATCCAAATGTTTTTTAAATGTTGCTATTGTACCTGCCTCAGCCACTTTCTCTGGCAGCCCATTCCATATACACACCACTCTGCATGAAGATGTTGCCCCTCAAGTCTTTTTAAATCTTTCTCTTCTCACCTTAAACCTATGCCCTCTAGTTTTCAATTCCCCATCCCTGGAGAAAACACTATGTGCATTCATTCTATCTATGCCCCTCATGATTTCAGGCATCTCAATAAGGTCACCACCCATTCTCCTATACTCCAAGGAATAAAGCCCTATCCTGGCCAACCTCTCCCTATAACTCAGGCCTACTAGTCCCAGCAACATCCTTGTAAATCTTTGCACACGTTCCAGTTTAACTATGTCTCCCCCATAACAGGGTGACCAAAACTGTACACAATATTTCAAGTGTGGCCTCACCAACAGCTTATACAATTGTAATATAACGTCGAGCACTCCTGTACTCAATGCCTCGACCAATGAAGGCCAGCATGCTAAATGCATTCTTCACCATCCTGTCTACCTGTGACACCACTTTCAACGAACTATGTACTCATACTTCTAGGTCCCTCTGTTCCACAACACTCCTCTGGACCTTACCATTTACTGTATAAGTCCTACCTTGGTTTGACTTTCCAAAGTGCAACACCTCACACTTATCCGTATTGAATTGCATTTACCAATCCTCAGCCACTTCCCCATCTGATCGAGATGCCTCTGTAATTTTTGATAATCTTCCTCGCTATCAACAATACCTCCAGTTAAGAGTTGACTACATTTCTGTGGGTCTGGAGTCATGTGTAGGCCAGACCAGGTAAGGACGGGAGTCCCTCTCTGAACCTCTACCCCTGTCTCTCATATAGTCATAGAGTTATACAGCACCAAAACAGACCCTTTGGTTCATCCAGTCCACGCTGAACATAATCCCAAACTAAACTAGTCCCACTTGCCTGCTCCTGGCCCATATCTCTCCAAACCTTTCCTATTCATGTACTTATCCAAATGTCTTTTAAATTTTGTAACTGTACCCTCATCCATCACTTCTTCAGGAAGTTTATTACACATGCAAATCACCCTCTGTGTAAAAGGTCTGCCCCTTGTATCTTTTTTAAATCTTTCTCCTCTCACCTTAAAAATATCTTTGAAGAGATGCCTTAAAAGTACTTCATGGAGCTTTTCTGTCAACTATCCTCATATTTCCTTTATGCTTCCCTATGTAAATTATCTGCTGACGCAGCTATGAAGCACCTTGAAATGCTTTACTGTATTAAAGGTGCTATGTAAATGCAAGTGCTAAGTAGAAAGAAAATTCCATTAATGTAGGTCATGGAGCTTAAAATATTTCCTCAATCTTTCTTGCATCTTTAACTTCAAAATATCCCATGGTATTTTACACAATCAATTTCTCTTTGTGGGAGTTACTATTCAGAATAACTTGGTGAGTGTTCTGTGCTGGGAATGTGCGACAGTTAATGTAGGAGGTTCCCGGTTATTTTGGCTGAGGGAGTGATGTTCGGTCAGTGAAGAAAGGCAGCCTAATCTTTTTCAAACAATAGAAATCCGCTCCAAACAGCAGGACCCCTGTCCAACTCCTCAACAGATGGAACCATCATTAAAAAGAATGACAAAGTTTGCCAGTTAAAACTCATCAGGACCATCACACAAGAAATCAAACTCAGAAAGGGAGCAACAATTTCTACAGCATAAGAAGAGGACGCTGATTGGTTGGACTGTCGTCTGCACATTCCCTTTCTAAGTTTCAAATACAGAAGTTGCTGGAAACGCTCAGTAGGTCTGGCAGCACCTGTGAAGAAAAAAATCAGAGTTAACGTTTCGGGTCCAGTGACCCTTCCTCAGTTTGTTCTTTTTATACCCGGAAGTGTTATCACACACAACTGAGCGACTTTCCCACCACCAAAATCACCATGACTTTTTCTCTTTGTCTTTTCTTTCCCTTATTTTAAACACTAGCTACCATTAATAAAACACCCATGTAGCCAATTCAGTACTTACATGTGAAGCCCTTTAAGGACAATGCAAACCATCAAAAGTGATGGGGAGGTAGAGGGAGAGGGAAGGGGCTAAATGAAAATGGAGTTGGAAGTAGAGATAAAGTACTGTGCACCCCCCCCCCCCCCCCGCCTCGCGGTGCCCACCTCTCTCTAAATGCATCGAGATGATTGATGGGTGCTGTGTGCAAGGAGACCTGTGCACAAACATAACCCACAGAAGAGAGGCTTAGTTCGGTTTCTTGCGTTCCGGTCCTGACCTTTAACCTTTGATCTCTTTTTAACATTGTTCAGAATCTGTGCTATCAAGCAGTTATTTGCCTCAAAGGGCACAGCCTCCAATAATCATCTCTGCACCACTTGGTCATCCTGACAACGTTGAATCCCTGGTTCAGGGGCTCACACTGTCACCCCTTTTGACACGACGGAATAAGGGCCAGCCTTGGCTGAGTGGGTAACACTCTCAGCTTGGAGTCAGAAAGATTCACATCCCGAGATCTGAACACACGGGATCCAATCTAGCACCACTGAGGGAGCGCTTCTTGCTCAGAGCTTCAGTTCCATTCGATCCAATTTCATCTGCATTTGAGGTGATGGTCAGAGTCTCTTACAACATGAGCTCAACTGAGGAAAGATGAGAAGTTTTTATCGAGCCTGTTACACCAAGAGATGGAACGTTACCACCAAATATGTAAACAAGAATGGATTGTTGATGGTTTTACAAAGATCGATCAGATTTAAAATTAACCATTGATTGAGCATCAACTGGCATTTTATTGGAGAGAATTCCAAACATCCTGATCTGTAGGAAGTTCCCCAATTTCATTTCTGAAAGGGCTGACTCTAATTCTTAGACTTCCCTCTGAGTTACAGGGAATTATCAGCCATTCGGCCCTTCGAGTTTGCTTCACCATTCAGTAAGATCACGGCTGTCCGAAGAGGTGCAGCTTAGGTGGATTGGCCATGCTAAATATTGCCCTGGAGTGCCCAGGGATGTGCTGGTTAGGTGGATTGTCCATGATTGAAAAAACAAAAACCCCATTACAGGGATGGGCTGCTCTTCTGACGTTGGTGCAGACTCAATGGGCTGAATGGCCTCTTTCTGCACTGTAGGGATTCTTTGATCTGGTTGAGGACTTAATTCAATTTCCTGTCTCCCCCCTCCAACTCCATAGCCCTCGAATCCCTTCTGTGTCAAAAAGCTATCAAACACAACTCTGACTAATCTAAAGAGCCAGCCTCCACTACCTTCTTGGCAAAGAGATTTCCACACTCTAATGACCCTCTGAGAGAAAAGAAATTCTTCTCACCTCAGTTTTAAAAGAGAATTTGCGTACTCTTAAACTATGTCACCTCGTTTTAGGCTCCCCCACAACAGGAAACATCCTCTGAGTATCCACCCTCACCAGTTCCTTCAGGATCTTAAGCAGTGGTTAGCGCTGCTGCCTCACAGCACCAGGGACCTAGGTTCGATTCCACCCTCAGGCAACTGTCTGTGTGGAGTTTGCACATTCTCCCCGTGTCTGCGTGGGTTTCCTCCGGGTGCTCCGGTTTCCTCCCACAGTCCAAAGATGTGCTGGTTAGGGTGGATTGGCCGTGCTAAATTGTCCCGTAGTGTCCAGGGATGTGCAGGTTAGGGTGGATTGGCCGTGCTAAATTGTCCCGTAGTGTCCAGGAATGTGCAGGTTAGGGTGGATTGGCCATGGGAAATTGCCCCATAGTGTCCAGGGATGTGCAGGTTAGGGTGGATTGGCCATGGGAAATTGCCCCATACTGTCTAGGGATGTGCAGGTTAGGGTGGATTGGCTGTGCTAAATTGCCCCATAGTGTCCAGGGATGTGCAGGTTAGGGTGGATTGGCCGTGCTAAATTGTCCCGTAGTGTCCAGGGATGTGCAGTTTAGGGTGGATTGGCCGTGCTAAATTGTCCCGTAGTGTCCAGGGATGTGCAGGCTAGGTGGGTTAGCCAATGGAAATGCAGGGATAGGGTGGGGAGGATGGGTCTGGGTGAGGTGCTCTTCAGCAGGTCAGTGTGGACTTGATGAGTTCAATGGCCTGCTTTAACACTGCAGGTATTCTCAAATGCTGGAAATCTGAGACAGAAAGCGCCGGAGAAGCTCAGCAGGTCTGGCAGCGTCAGTGGAGAGAAAACAGAGTCAACGTTTCAGGTCCTGTGGCCCTTCTTCTGTTCAATTTTGATGAAAAGTCACTGGACCTGAAACACTGACTTTCTGTTTTCTCTCTCCAGAGATGCTGCTGGGTTTCTCCAGCACCTTCTGTTTCTCTTCGAGCTCTTAAATCTTTCAATCAGACTATCTCTTCAATCTTCCAAATGCCAATGGGCCCAAACCTGTTCAATCTTTCCTCAAAATATAGGTGAAGTCAACATAGTCCCAGAGGGCTGTGATCTCATCAGTGAGATGACTGATGGGTCGTTTTAACCTACGGGTCACCATACCTCAGGTGAGGGTGAAGTTAAGACAGCATGGTGACATCAGGCGGTGCAGGAATTGAACCCGTGCTGTTTGTGTCATTTTGCATCACCAACCATCCATCCAGCCAACTGAGCTAACCTTCAAAAATTCCAGGAAGCATAACAAGAGTCAGTCAGGATGTCTCTTGGTGTACGTTACCACACTCAGACTGCATTCACATTCTGGCGAACCTGTGACCTTTTGTTCCACGCTGCGACATTTTGATGATTACCTTCTATTGATTTAGTCATCTGTAAATATTGGGACTTTGCAAAGAACATAAAACAAGAGCACAGAGAGTCTGCCGATAGCTGTTGCTCTGTTTCTCATGCTGTGCCTCTTGTACTCGATACAGCGATTTACAGAAGAAAAAAAAAATCACGGGACATGGATATCGCTGGCAAGACCAATATTTATTACCCATCCCTGCTGGCCTAGAAAGGGTGGTAGTGACCAGAATGAACACCAGTAAGACTAGTGCATGACAGATAATAGTCCAACTCCTTGTGTGTACTTCAAAATGGAACTACAGTACAACAAGCACATTCATACTAACTTTTATTTCCCATTGCTTTAGCCCTTTGGGTAAGCCACCTTTTGGATATGTACACCCTCTGTGCCATTAGGGAGGGAGTTTGCAGAGGTTGACCCCATGAAGGTACAATGATATAGTTCCAAGGGTTTGAGTGAAGATTTGTAGCTCGGGAGCTGGTTATAGATGTCGGTGTGTTCGCCGAGCTGGGAGGTTTGATAGCAGACATTTCGTCCCCTTACTAGGCGACATCCTCAGTGCTGAGAACTTATAAGCTCGAATTTATATGGTCTGGTTTTTGCTGAATTGACTGGCGCAAGACAACAGTGCTTCACAGGAGGCTCCACAAGACCTAGTAAGGGGACGAAACGTCTGCTATCAAGCCTCCCAGCTCGGCGAACACACTGACAACTACGATATAGTTCCAAGTCAGGATGGTGTTGTGGCTTCAGGACCTCTTGCTGTGTTGGGAAGGTATGGAAGGGAAGCTGTTGGAGCATAATTATACCGGGCTTACAGAAGCAGCAGGGTCAATTTATTATTTCATGGGTGGCACAGTGACTCAGTGGTTAGCGCTGCTGCCTCACAGCACCAGGGACCTGGGTTCGATTTCAGCTTCAGGTAACTGTGTGGAGTTTGTACATTCTCCCTGTGTCTGCATGGGTTTCCTCCCACAGCCCAAAGATGTGCAGGCTAGGTGGAATTGCCATGGGAAATTGCCCCATAGTGTCCAAGGGTGGTCACAGGGATATGATGGAGTGTTGGATGGGATGCTCCCTGTGTGGAAAGACGGGAAAGTTCCTGTTTTGTGCACCTGTTCAAAGCCTGAATTCTTCCTTCATCTAAAGTTGCTGCCTGCACTGTTAGTAGTCACAGCCGAACCCAGGAGCTGAGCAGTATCAGCCTGAACTCCTACCCTCTAGCACTGCCACACAGCTCACCATCGTATAGGGCATCAGCTACAAGCTTTTATGTTAATCCACTCACATCACTGGCCACGCGAGCATTAATTCCCGTCCCTAGCACTGAGTGGCTTGCTTGGCCATCCCAGAGGGCAAGTGAGAGTCAAACACATTGCTGTGGTTCTGGAGTTCCATGTGGGCCAGGCTTGGTGAGGATGGCAGATTTCCTTCGAACTCAGTGACAGAGTTTGGTGGGACTGGCATCTTGAAGCTGCTAAAGAAAATGATCACGGATGCCCTGGTCATTGCTGACAGAAAGTAGATACACTCTAACTCCAGGTTTGGTCCCATCTCAGTTGATCACACCAGTGTTTCCTGCTCCACATAGCACTGTAAAATCTAATACATTAACTCATCCATAAAGCTCGTTAAATAAATTTTGGCAGCTATTGCAAGTAAAAGATCCATCATTATGAGAGAGAAATGATATAAAATCATGTACTTTCCTGGATTTAATTACATAGGAGTTCATGTTCACAAATTATAAGAATTGCTGCTGGTGCAAGATTTTATTATCTTGTGCGGAGACTAGGCTCCAAACTTGCCATCTCGATTCTATACTCACTTCCCCTTTACATCATCTTGCATCCTATTTTCCCATCCACACACAAAATACCAATGAGGAACGAGAGGAGGTCACTGGTCCCCTTGTGCCTTTTCTGCCATTCAGTAAGATCATGGCTGATCTGATTTTAACCTCCACTTTACATTTCTGTATATCCCCGAAAACCTTTCACCCCCTTGGTCATCAAGGATCTATCTGACTCAACCTTAAAAATATTTAAAGGCTCTGCATCGACTGCCTTTTGAGGCAAGGAATTCCAAAGATTCACAATCCTCCGAGAGAAAATAACACATCTCCTCATCTCTCTCTTAAATAGATGCCCCTTAACCTATGATCTACCTAGTTCTAGATTCTCTAACAAACGGAAACATCCTTTCAATAGCCACCAGTTAAATCACTCAGGATCTTAAATGTTTTAATTAAATCACATTTGACTCGTCTGAATTCCTGAGGATACAGATCTAGTCTGTCTAACCTTTCCACTCATTGCAGCTATTAGTCTAGTAAACCAGTCTGAACTGCTTCTAATGCATTAACATCCCTCTGTAAGTACAGTGACCAGTACTGTACAGAGTACTCCAGATGTGATCTCACCAATGCCCTGCATAACTGAAGCATTAACTCTTGCATTCAATTCCCCCTCGTAATAGTATAAACCAATACTTTCTATTAGTTTTCCCGAATACTTGCTGTACCTGCACACTAACTTCCTGTGGCTCTTTCTGCTGCTTGTATAGTTAGGGTCTCGCTCCTGAGCTTCTTTTCTCTTTCTCATGCTCTACTCCTCTCTCTCTCTCTCTTTCACTTATTCCTTCTTTTCATCCTCTCTCTCTCTCCCTGTCTTTCTTTCCCCAGTTTGCCCTGCACAGTTCCACTGCGCTGAGGGAAATACCTGCCTGTCCTTACTGAACGTCTGCAATCAGGTTGGAGACTGTGAGACAGCCGACGATGAACAGAACTGCGATGAGGGTATGTGGAGGCTGAGACTCCGTGTTCTGCGCATCTTTGGCGCACATCAGCCTGTTTGCTTTTGGACAGAGTCTAATTTTCTTTCAGAAAGCCTGTTGGAGAGTTGGGATGAATCTGTCTGGAAATCTGTGGGTGGAAATTGCCCCTCTCTAGAAGTCACCGAGCGCAAGGTGATGAGAGGGCAAACAATCAATTAGGTTGGCACCAGGGAGATATCCACCCCCTTTCCTACCATCGAGTTCTGGGTGCGAAGCTCCATGGGTGACCCTCCTGACCCACCGCCTAATGAAAGTCCCTAAAATGGTCAATTAACAGCCAGTCAGGGGCCTACACATGCCACTGGCCCCAGTGCCTGCCTTTCTCAGTGTGAGAGGTGGCTGCCTTCCTGGCTCAGAAGGTGGGACAGTCCATCTGCCAGGACTGGGGGGAGGCATTCAGTCACCCGAATCTGAGCGTGATTGGGAACCAAGAGGTGACAAAGGGTTGGTGATCTATTGAATGTTCGCGGAGAGAGAACATGCATATATGTGTGTGTGTGTTTATGTGTGACAGTA